ATTCTCTAAGAACCCTCTTTTGTTTGTGCTTTCTTCAAAAACCTAAGGGGTGTTGAGAGGAGTTGGACCAAATGATTTCAAGGGAAGGGGTTGTAGCATGAAGAGCCCTAAGTAGGGATTTCTGTGTCAACCTGGACAAGTCTCTCCCCTCTCCCATTTTCCATATCTCTTCATGTTCTTCACTCTCACCTCCCTTTGAATTAGTTGATTTTCTAAGGCACTCCTGTTATTTGGGCTTCTAGGGGAGAGGGGTTGGAACAGATTATTTTTAAAAAGCTGGGGTGGGGTTTGGACCAAATGATTTGAAAACACTCTGAGGAGAGTACCAAGGACTCTAGTTGGGGCTTCTGGGTCAGTTTGGATAAGAGAATTTCTGGGCCTCCTCAGGTCCCCCCCCCAACTAGTTGATTTTCTTTTCTTTTCTTTTTTTTAGGCAGTTGGGGTTACTTGCCTAGGGGCACACAGCTAGTAAGTGTCAAGTGTTTGGTGGAAGGTGGAATTTGAACTCAGGTCCTCCTGACTTCAGGGCCTGGGCTCTATCCCACTTCGACACCTAGCTGCCCCCGAACTGGTTGATTTTTTAAGAGCCCCCTTATCGTTTGGGCTTTTGGAGAAAGGAGTTTGGACCAGATTATTTTCCAAAGGCTTGTGGGGGGAGTTGGACCTGATGATTTCAAAGGGCTTGGGGGGGGGGTGTTATATGTTACCAAGACAACCACAGTGACCTCTAGGTAGTTTGAGTTTTCGTTCTCCTCTCGAAGATTTCTGGCCTTTTCTCTCCCCCAAAGGGCATTTCAAGTTGTTGATTCTACAAGAGATTCTCTTTTGGGGGGCAAGGAATGGACTATCTTCAAAAGGCTTGGGGGGGATTGGACCAGATGATGTTAAAGGGATTGGGGGGACTTTGTACCAAGTTGTTCTCTAGATCTGGTATTTTGGTGAGTTCAGGCAAGTCTCTCTTCCTTTAGGGGCCTCCTTAGGGTCTTCTCTCCTCCTTGCCCCCCTCCCCATTTTGAACTGGTTGATTCTCTAAGAACCTCTTTTCATTGGTGCTGTTTGGGAGGGGGAATTGGGCCAGATTGTCTTCAAAAAATTTTTTTTGGGGCTGTTGGGCCACTTGATTTAAAAGTCTTCTGGAGGGGTACCAAGATGACTTCTAGACAGGAGCTTCTGTGGCAATTTGGTTAAGTCTCTCCCCTCTCTCTGGGCCTCCTCTTCTAAGAGGCCTGCTATCTTTTGGGCATCTAGGAGAGGGAGGTTTGGATCAGATTATCTTCAAAAGGCTGGGGGAGAAGTTGGACCAGGTGATATCAGAAGGCCTGGAGGGGGCATATATTACTAAGACAATCACACTGACCTCTAGCTAGAGACTTCTGTTTGAATTTGTGCTAGTCTCTTCCAATTCCTGGTCTTACTTTAGTGTCTCCCCCCCTCAAATGAGGGGGATTTCAAATAGCTGTTTTTCTAAGAGCCTCTTTTTTTGGGGGGAGATAGACTAGATTGTCTTCAGAAAGGCTGTGTGTGTGTGTGGGGGGGGGGATTGGACCAGATGATTTTAAAGGGATTTGAGGGGGGAATTAATAAAATGACCTTTAGGTAGGGTTTTTTTTGTGGGGGAGGGGGGTGTGGGTTGTGGGGTGGAGAGTCTCTCCTGCTTTCTGGGCCTTGCCTCAGGTTCTTCCCCCACCCCCATCCCTATTAGTAGTCTTCTGGGGTCGGAGTATCCCAGGATGACCTCTAGGTAGAGGCTTCTGTGTGAATTTGGGGGAGTCTCTTTTCTCTTTCTGGGCTTTTCTGAGAGGTTCTTCTAGCCCTTTCCCCCATGAGAAGGGTTGGAAGTAGTGGAATTTGTAAAAACCCCTGTTTGGGCTTCTGGAGGTGTAACACATTACCTTTAAAAAGACCAGATATCAGGGAGCTAGGTGGCCCAGTGGATAGAGCACCTGCCCTGAAGTTAGGAGGACCTGAGTTCAAATTCAGCCTCAGACCAAACACTTGACACTTACTAGCTGTGTGCCCCTGGGCAAGTCACTTAACCCCAATTGCCCCCCCCCAAAAGACCAGATCATTTCAAAGGGAGGTGGAAGTGGGGAAGTGTACCAAGCTGATATTTAATGCGGTCTTCTTGTGAATTTGGGATTTTCTCTCCCATTTCTGGGCCTCCTCAGGTACTTCCTTCCCTCCCCTCTCCCTCCAGCAGGATTTGAATTGGTTGATTCTCTAAAAACCTCCATTTGTTTGTGCTTCTGGGGAGGATCGGTCCAGATCATCTTCAGAAGTCTTGGGGGGGGGTTGTACTAAGATGACCTCTAACTAGGGGCTTCAGCGATTGTTTGGGCAAGTCCCTTCCCCCCATTCTGGGGCTTCTAAGGGGCTTTCTCCCTTCCCCCAAGAGAGTTTGAGCTAGTTGATTTTTAGAACCTCTGTTTAGGTTGTTTTGGTGGGGAATGTTGGACCAGATTATTTTCAAAAACCCTGTGGGGAGGGTTGTTGGACGAGATGATTTAAAGGTGGAGGTGGGAAGGGAGTTTATCCCAAGATGACCTCTAGGTAGGGTCTTCTATATTAATTTGAGCACATTCCTCCTGTATTTCAGGGCTTCTCTTCAACTGTCTCCCCTCCATTCCCCCATGAGGGTCTGAACTAGTTGATTTTGTAAGAGTCCCTGTTTGATTGGGCTTCTGTGGGGGATCAGAATGGACCATATTTAAAAGGCTTGTGGGGGGAGTTGGACCAGATGTTTTTAACTGGATTTTTGGAGGGGAGAAGTGTGCCAGGATAACTTCTAGGTAGGGTTTTTTATGAGTTGGGGCAAATCTCTTTTTCATTTCTGGGCCTCCTTGATTTCTCCGCAGCCCTATCTCCATCAGTGAGGAGGGTTTCAACTAGCTGAATCTGTAAAAGCCCTTGTTGGGATGGACTTCTGGGAGACGTGAAGCATTGGACCAGATTATAAAAAAAGGCTTCGGGGGGGGGATGGACCAGATGATTTTAAAGGGGGGGGATACTGGTTACTAAGAGGATCAAGGTGACCTCTAAGGGTCTCCCTAGTCGATGAGGGTGGTTTTAACTAATTGATTCTTTAAGAATTCCTGTTTTTGTTTCTGGGTTTTTTTTTTTTTTACTTCTGGGGATGGAGGTTGGAGCAGATTATCTTCAAAAGGCTAGAGGAGGTTATTGGACCAGATGATTTAAAAGTCTTCTGGGGGGAGTGTCCTCAAATGACCTCTAGGTGGGGACTTCTGTGTGAGTTTAGGGAAGTCTCTTTCCCCTTTATTGGCCTCCCTGACAGGTTCTTCCCCTTTGCTGCCCCTGCCCCCCAATTCCTTCCAGTCTGGATTGTTTGAACAAGTTGATTTTCCAAGAGTCCCTGTTTGTGCATCTGTCGGGTAGGGTGTGGGGGGGTGGGATTGAATCAGATAATTTAAGTCTTTGGGGGGGGGATTACCAAAATGACCTCTAGGTAGGGGCTTTTGTTTGAGTTTGAGCAAGCTGATCCCTGCTTTTGGTCCTCCTTCTCCCCCAAATCTCTAGTCCCTAAGGGCGGTTTGAGCTAGTTGATTCTGTTAAGAGCCCCAGCTTATATGGACTTCTTTGGAGGGGAGGGAGGGATCAAATTGTCTTCAAAAGGCTTACAGTTGTGGGGGTTAGATCAGATGATTTCGAAGTTATTCTGGGGACAGTGGCACCAAATGATCTCTGGGTAGTTTTTTGGTGAGTTTGGCAAGTTGCCCTCTCCTTTCTAACCCTCTTTAGGTATTTCCATGCCCTTCCCCTCCCTCCTCCTCCAATGAGAAGGTTTTGAACTAGTTCATTGTTGAAGAGCTTACCCTTTTCACTTGAGCTTCTGGGGTGAGTTGGACCAGATTATCTTCAAAAGGCTCGTGGGGAGGAATTGAGAGTTGGAGTAGCTGATTTTAAAGGGCTGGGGTGGGTGGGTGGTGGTTACCAAGATGACCAGTGACCTCTAGGTAAGGGCTTCTGTTTGAGTTTGGGCCTCCTTTCTGTGCCTCCTCAGGTTCTTCCCCCCACCCCACCCCCCCCATGAAGGGTTGAATCCAGTTGATTAACTAATTGATTCTCTGTAGGACCCCTGTTTATTTGGCCGGAGGTAGGGGGGGGAGGCTTAGGGTGTAGTTGGACCAGAAGATTTCAAAGGGCTTCTGGGGAGGATCATTACCAAGATGAAATGGTGTTAACCAAGTGGTTTCTGTTTGAGTTTGAGCAAGTCTTTCTTCCCCTTCCAGGCCTGCATGTCAGGTTCTTCTCCCTCCTCCCCAATGTCCAATGAGGGTTTTAACTGGTTGATTCCCTTAGAGCCTCTGTTTGTTCTTGGGGGCAGGGGGGGAGTGGGTGGAGGGTTGGACCAGATTATCTTCAGCAGCCTTGAGAGGCAATTGGACCTGATGATTTAAGAGTCTTCTGTAGGGGGAAGGGGAAGTGTACTGAGATGACCTCTAGGTGGGGAATTCTCTGTGAGTTTGGGAAAGTCTCTTCTTTCTGGACTTCTTAGGTTCTCCCCTCCTCACCGATGACTAGAGTGAACTAGTTTAAACCCTCCTCCTTTACTGGTCGTGGGGGTGTGGGGAGAGGTTGGACCACAGCATTTTCAAATGCTTGGGGGGGGGTAGTTGGACCATCAAATTTCAAAGGGCATGGGGAGGGTGTTACCAAGAGGACCACAATGACTGCTAGTTAGGGCCTTTTGTTTGAGTTTGGCCAAGTCCCTCCCAGCTCACTTGGCATCCTCAGGTTTTTTCCTCCTCTTCACCCTGCCCCCTCCTCAGATGAGGACAGTTTGAACTAGTTGATTCCCTGTAAGTTGGGGCAAACACAAAATCTTTCTTCTCTTTCCAGTATCTCGTGAGGGGTGGGGGGCCCCTGGCCTAGGTGCTCTAATACTGTTATTCGGTCCTAGAGTACAAAAAGGAGGTAAGCAAGGACAATGCAGAGAATATGACACTGTATTATGGCAAAAGGTTTTAGAGGGGACAAAGCCATCACAGCTTACTGATATCATAGTCTTCATTGTCCTCAGCAAGCATTTCACTCTCTGATGCCTCGGCTGCTGTGCTTTCCATCTCAGAGGCCTCTTCTTGCATCTCCTGGTCTTGTGGTGCTTCCTCCTCCGTGTTCCCGAGGACCTCCCTGGAGATGAGTTGCTGGGCAAACTTGATGTTCAGGCCCTCACTGTAATGGACCTTCCTCTTTAATTTGAACTGCCTCCTGAGATCCTCTTCCTCTTCACTGCTCTCACTCCAGTGCACTAGAAACTTGGGTTCCTTGCCCTTGGCTACTGGCAGCCTCTGGGTCAAGAGATCAAGAACTATGGTTCCCGTGATTTCCGAGTTGCTGATGGATTTGTCTTCTGTGTCTCTGATGGTGGAGTGGTAGGGTGAATCGAATTTGTCGATATTCATGAGCCTGTACTTCTTATCTTCCGGGTGGTAAGTGGCCACGATGCTCATTTCATCCCACTTCTGGGACTTCTTGCTGAGCTCCTCGCCACTACCGGTGCCGGCGCCCACTTCAGTACTTGGGCCTGGAGTCACAGAGGGCTCGGTAATTGTCAAGACCGAGCTGTCGATGCTACCCTTCTTCTTCAAGATCCCTTTGATGGGTCTGTGGGAAGTTGTAGAGGCTGCCATTGGTTCAAGTTGGATAGACGGTAGTTGAGAAGAGGGGTGGATGACTGAAGGAGGCAAGGGGCCCTAGAGTTGGTTGGTGGTGACAGGGATTAAGGTAGTGGCTGGGCTAAGGCAGTGGAGGGTCTGGCTAGAGGCTTTGGCTACTCAGGCCTCTGGGTACCTGGTCCTTGTATACAACCCTGTTTTTAGCGGTGACTTTTCCCGAGCAGGCCTGAGGCTATAAGGTGGTAAGCTGGGATTTCTTTTCTGGGCAACTGGTTGATTCCCCACTACGTGCCTCATGAATGATTTCTGTTGCCATCCTCCCCCAACGCCCTTGGGAAGTTATGTTTTGGAGGAGCAATGACTACATAACGAGCACACACTGGCTTGTGGGCAACTGCGTCACAGGCCTCCCTTTGTGACTTCAGCAGGGGTTGCATGGCTGAAGAAGGCCTGGAGCCACTGACCCACAGCTGTACCTTTTCTGGATAATAAATAAGGCTGCTGGGAGGCCCTGCCCAGAAGCAGCTGCCTCTTTTGAGATCACCTGGGCTATCTTTTATTTGAGACTTGAATCATGCTGTTGATACTGACTAACTAGCTTTGTAACCATGGGCAACTCTACACCTCTGTGGCCTGTTTTCATCACTTCTTAAATAGGGAAAAAATACTAAGGGTTGTCTCACAATCAAATGATATATCTCAAGCGCTTTGTATCCCTTAATGTGCTAAATGAATGCTAGCTGTTTTTATTTGTATTGTTTGGAAATGAGAAATCCCAAAGAGAAAGGTCTGAAGGGGGACAAAAAATTACTTTTCCGAGTAACTGAGTACATAGAGCATCTTCAGCATTGTAATAGAAACATGCTTAATTTACATCCTTTCTGATCATCTTCTGCTCTGTGGTTTAATCTTTTACCTTATTCACCTTTCACTTTAGTTTCCTTTTGGTCCCAGCATTGGTGAAAGGAACTCCCAGGGTAGAAATTTCTCCACCTACCTATAACTTGCCTTGGGAGAATTGCCTTGGGACACTGAGAGGTAAACTGGTTGGCCTAGGGTCGCACAACACAGCCACTCAGCATCTGTTGGAAGTAGGGCTTTGGTTCTCAGGTTTCCTGAGTTAGGGCCCACCCTCTCTCTTTCTTCTGCTTCCATGTTGCCCACTCTCCCTTGAGTTATATGTATTCAACATACATCGCTGGGCTATCACTGGGCGTTATTTCTTGAAGTATTGATTCTTCGTAAAAATCCCTGGGATCTTAGTAGCTTTGGGAGATAGCAAGAAGTTAAAAAGAAAGGATTTTTATCCTTGGAGTTATTTGCAAGCTAGGGAACCAATTTCATCATAATCCAATGTGAACAGGCAGAGCAGCCTGGAAACTTGCCTTTCTTTGCCCATTTTCTCTGCCTTCTTTGTTGACAGAAGAGTTGGTGAGGAGAGAAACCCCAACCCCATTCCTTCTGCTGGGCCCTGCTCTCCTGGTTCCTTACAGATGCATATGCTATGAATCCTGATGTATAAGAAGGTCATGCAATATTGGAATAATCGATTTAGAGCCAGAAGAGATCTTAGAGACTGCTTAGTACAGCAGATCTCAAACTTCTGGTCTCAAGCCCCCTTTACAATCTTACAGATTATTGAGGACCCCAAAGAGCTTTTGTTTATTTGTTTATTTATCTATTTGTTTATTATCTATCCATACAGGTTGTCCCCAAAACTTTTGGGATACTCTGATTTACTGCATTAGAAATTAAAGTGACAGATTTTAAAAAATATTCTTTTATTAATTCATTTAAAAATAACAATGAAACTCATTACATGTTAACATTTTCTATGGAAAAAAAAACTGTATTCCATAGCAAAAAAAACCCCAAACACCATTTAGCAAGAAGAATGGCCTTGCTTTACATTTGTGTTATATCAATTGCAGGTTATTTTTATGTCATCGGTGCAGATATCAATAGGATGTTCCCATGGATTCAAAAAAGTTATTCAACATTTTGAATATTTCAGCACCACTTGTGTTTGTAGTCAAGCATTCACATAAAAGAAGCTGCAGTAGATAGAGCACTGGGCCTGGAGCCAGGAAGACCTGAGTTCAAATGTGGTCTCAGACACTTAGTAGCTCTGTGACCCTGGGCAAGTCACTTAACCATGTTTACATCAGTTTCCTCATCTGTAAAATGAGCTGGAGAAGGAACTGGCAAACCACCCCAGTATCTTTGCCAAGAAAACCACAAATGGAGTCACAAAGAATTGGACACAATTGAAACAACAAAATCCAGTATTGTTTGTGTTGATGAAACAAGATGACATGTGTAACATACTTTGCAAACCTTAATGTGGTAATCAAATGTTGGCTATAATTATTGTTACTGTTATATAGTCCTAGCTATTGCTTCTCAAAGGTATCTAGATATGCAGTTTAGATTGAAGTTATTATTTTTTGAACTCTGATTTGTACGATAATTCTAAGTACTGGCCCTTCCTAGGTCACCTAGGTATGAAGACTTGTCCCTGTACAGTAGTTTGTGTTACACACCCTGGATTTTGTGGCTTTTTGAGTCTCTCTGAACTCTTGACAAGTTTCATTTGTATACCAGTATTTTACTTTTTTACTACAGAAATCAGTATCCTCTTAGCAGTGTTCACGAGGATCAACTGCAGAAATTAAATTGATCCTACATCCTAACTGATATTTGAGTATGCCCCCATATCTTGGCCCTGCTACTTAACACATGGAAGTATCAGGCAGTCATTCAGTCCACAAACATTTATTAAATGCCTGCTTTGTCCTAGGCACTGGAAGTTCAAATGAATGAAGGAAACAGTCACTTCCCTCAGGGAGCTTCCATTTAATAGGGGAAGATAACGTGTACATAGACAAGTATATACCCAGTAATTTTGAGGGGGAGGCCCTAGCAGCTGGAGGGTGGCTACTGGAGTAGATCAAGGAAGGTTTATGATAGGAGGTAGGTGGTGCTTGAACTATGAAAGATAATCAGAATTTTAAGAAGCTGACATTAGGAAGAAGTGTTGTACTAGGAATGGCAGCAAGAAAGCTACTTTGGCTGGCCTGGAAAGTGGAGGAGTGATGTATAAGAAGGCTGAAAAGATAGGTTGGAACTGGGTTGTGAAAAGCAATTCACATTTGACCATGGAGGTAATAGGGAGCCACTTAAGTTAGAGTATGGGAGTGGCATGACATGATCAGACAAACATTTTAGGACTCTTACTTTGGCAACTATGTGGGAATTGGGGTGGAGAAGAGAAAGATGAGCCAGGGAGACCAATTAGGAGGCTGTTGCCAGGTGAGAGGTGATAAGTACACCATCTAGGCCAGTTGCTTAACCCCTCTGGGACTTAATTTAGAATTGTAGATTTGGAACTAGAAGAAAGCCCAAAGGTCATCTAATTGAGCCTGTCATTTTATTTATGAGTAAACTGGGGTACAAAGAGGTCAAATGTCATCTAGTTGAACCCCCCCCCCGAATTTTACATATGAGTAAACTGAGGCAAGAGAGGTTAAATCATGTGCCCAAGATCACAGAGTTAGTAAGTGAAAGATCTGGAATTTAAACCCAGGTCCTTTGATTTCAAATCCAGGACTGCTTCTATTTTGGTGTGTAAAATATGGGGGTTGGACTAGATAATAGATATCTAGCCCTAAGTCCTATGATCACAGATAGGATCATATGTTCTATGACATATAATGTCATTGTATGTTTCACATGTCTGCAGACAAGCAGGAGAATGACTTTTACCTGTATTATCTGAATGTGATTATTTTATTCTTTGTGTATAGCATCCCTATGAAATGATTATGTGTGATTGTAGTGTTCTTTAGTTGAAAATTTTTGGGGGGGGGCTATGATAGAAAATTTACATAAAATAACATCTTTAGGTTCCTATTGTAGAATTTTCATCTTTGCAGTATTTATAGAATACTTCTATGTGATTTCAGCATTTTCCAAGGTGGGTACTATCAGAATGCAGAATTTTCTGAGTTGTGTAAAAGACACCATCCAAGACATGTATGACTAGAAAAGAAGGTGGGCCAGCCATATATTGATCAATAACATATGGAGAGTCTTGAGCATCACACTCATACGGTACATTGGATGGGTCTTCAATAGAAGCTTTTTGGAAGGACATGGATAAAAACACATGTATATGTTGCATTCTGCACCCATGGAGGGAGTGCCCACACCTTTGAGATCACACATCCATGTCAATGCAAATATCTTTTGAATAATTAAAAATTTTTTTTTTGTTTTCCTCTCAAATTGACCTCTTTTGTATGACTTGGCCTCCAGCATAGCACCTCCCTTCCGGAATTGTCAGTGTCCTTGGCTTCCTGGTTCTCTTACTGAGGCCCATCCCCATTTGTGCAAAGCAATACTTGTTGGGGTACTATAGGAATTTAAATTATAGAAATAAATGCTCTTTGAATTAAATTGTAGTACTATGATTTTCCTCTAGTGTAATAGAGATTTTCTTTTCTTTCAATAACACTTCCTTTCAGTACCTTTTGGCCAGCTGTTTTGTCCATGGGGAATTAGAGTCAGCCTTTCACACTGCTCAGTGAGAGGATTTTTCTGTGCTTCTTGGTGGTGGGATTGAAGCTCCTAGAAGTGTGATATCCCTGAAATGTAATACACGTCCTTTTAGGTAACAGGTTCCACTGACATAAAAGTTACATTTGTAGAAAGTATAAATTTAATGAAAGTGTTTCCAATTATTGGTTAGAGAATTCACCTCTTTACGCCTTTTGGTCAAGCTAGTCTTTTAATGCAAGGGTTTGTAGACTGTATACCTGTCCATTCCCTATTTTTGTACTGTTCCCTGCTAAGAATGGTTTTTACATTTTAAAATACAGTTTTATTGTATCTAAACATGTAAAAACCATTCTTAGCTCTCAAGCTATACAACAGACCACCACCATTAAATTTGGCTTTGGAGAGGAAGTTTGCTGACCCTTGTTTTAAGCTATAAATTAGCCACCTACCTTCAG